CACACACACACACACACACACACACACACAGTAATAAAATCTTTTGAAAACAATTTTTTAAATGAGTGCCAAAAAATTATATTAATTTTCGTTTTTGTTTTCGCTTTTTTGAGACAGGGTCTCACCATGCAGTCCCTGGCTAGCCTGGAGCTCACTATGTAGACCACACTAGTCTCAATCTCACACATATCCACCTACCTCTGATCTCTGCTTCCTAGTGCTGAAATTACAAGCATGAGACACCACACTCAGCAAAAAATTAGTATTAATTTTATAAGATGATAAAGGTATGGTAGATAAGTTAAAAGGAAAACTTTTTTTTTTTTTTTTTTTTTGGTTTTTCAAGACAGGGTTACTCTGTATAACAGTCCTGACTGTCCTGGAACTTACTTTGTAGACCAGGCTAGCTTTGAACTCACTGAGACCCACCTGCCTCTGCCTCTCAAGTGCTAGGATTAAAGGTGTGTGCCACCACCACCTGGCTAAGGAAAACTATTTCTTCTTAGCTATATCTGTACCAATATGCTTTCTACAATAATAATTAGCATGGAATCTGCTGTCAACTGTTTTGTAGGGGAGGGACAGCATGGAAAATTAGTGAAAGATTAGAATAATTCCAGTAACTGTCAAAGGTTAGTAATAAACACACAAGGTTCATTATAATGTACTTTGCTTTATGTGTAATTTTTTAAACTTTGCTAATAAATTTCTGAGAAAATCAACTACACAAAAGAATATAATAAACATTTTTTAAAACTTCCTTACAACTTAAGGTATTCTGAAGGCGACTCTCACTGTGCAGTTATAAGACACAACTGAGCAATAGCAGAAAGAATCTGTGTTAAAGAGCTTTACCTTCTCCATCCTCGGTCTATAAGATCCTGATAATCCTGCACTGTCATGGAATGTGCCCACATGCCTGAAAAAGTAAGTACCATGTTAATTTGCACTCTTTTTTTTAGAATTCTAAGTGTTCTTTAAAAAAAAAAAAAAAAAGGTAAATTAGATCAGGTGTGCTAAGGTACACCTTTAATTCCAGTACTCCAGAAGCAGAAACAGGTGAGTCTTGTGGATCTCTGCATTCCAGGGCAACCAGGCTACCTAGTAAGGTCCTATATAAAAAAAAATTAATAAAAATAAAAATGGCAAATTTAGACTAAAATTCTAGAACATTCATACTGGAGTAATGAAAAATTTGTATGCACTTCACGCTGAACATTATACATACAACACAAACAAAAATAAAATATATTATTCTTAAGATAAGAATGGTGACACAAACCTGTAATCCCAGAATTTAGGAAGTAAAGGCAGGTGGAGGCAGATGGACCAAGAGAGTTTAAGACCAGTCTCAACTACATAATAAATTTGAAGCCAGCCTGGGTAACATAAGACCCTGTGTCCAAAAAAAAAAAAAGTCAGATGTAGTGGCACCTGCCTTTGATGCCAGCACTCAAAGACACAGAGGCGGTTATATCTCTATGAGTTCAAGGCCAGCCTTGGCTACATAAGAGAAACCCTGTCTCAAAACAAAATCTATTCTAACTAAAGAATCAAATACATCAAAAGTGACTCAAATTCCATTTAACTGAAGATTAATAAACAGTCTCTCTGACAGAAATCTAGATTCTCCTTGGAACTGGACTTCATCACACCAACTTTCCTTGGTCTCTCCAATGAGCTAACACACTGGTCTCACCTGTCTGCGAGCTGTCATTTGTTCACTCTCTATTACCGTGATAAACAGCATGACCAAATGCAGTCTGGGGCAGAAAGGGTTGATTTCATCTTACAGTTCACAATCCATCACCAAGGGAAGTCAGGGAAGGAACTGGAGGGAGGGATCTGAAGGCAGGAGTCTGGAGACAGGAACTGAAGCAGAGGTCATGGAAGAACTCTGCTTACTAGCTTGCTCTCCAGGGCTTGCTTAGACTGCTTTCTTTCTTGTACACTCTAGTACCACCTGCCCAGAGGTGGCATCAACCACAGTGACCTTGGCCCTCCTACATCAATCACTAATCAAGAAAATGCCACAGCAGACTTGCATACAGGTCAATCTGATGGAGGCATTTCCTCAGTTGAGGTTTCTTCTTCCCAGATGACTCTAGCTTGTAGAAAGCTGACAAAAAAAAATAAAAAATAAAAAATAAAAAATAAAAAAATAAAAAAAACCTAACCAACACAAAAGCATGTCAGTTCTAATAATCGTTATGCATAATATGTACAGCACAGGCTTGATCAATAAAAACATATATAGAAATACTCATTCTAGGTAAGTAAACCGACAGTAACGCAAATCCCAAGGGAACAAAAAGATGATGACAGGGAATCTGACATTAGGAATATTGTGGAATAACTATGAAGCTATGGAGAGAAAACAAAGATGAGGAGAATTAACACGTAAAGGGTATACTTTAGGTAAACTTTAGGTTTAAAAAGACAAGGATTTTTTTTCTTCCTTTTGTAAATTAAGGAAATTATATCAGAGATATGTATAGGAGCATACTTTATAGAATGGCATGCAGATGGGGAGAAATGTGTCCGAGTCCAATAGAAATGTCAGTAAACCAGTTCTTCTTCCACGACCTATGCTTCATTCCTGCCACCATGTTCCTGCCTCGAGGTACCTGCCTCCACTTCCTGCCCTGACTTCCCTTCAGGATGGATTGTAAGCTGTAAAATAAAGAAACCTGCCGGGTGGCAGTGGCCTTTAATCCCAGCACTCGAGAGGCAGAGTCAGGTGGATCTCTGAGTTCGAGGTCAGCCTAATCTACAGAGCGAGATCCAAGGCAGGCACCAAAACTACACAGAGAAACCCTGTCTCGGAAAATAAATAAACAAACAAACAAACAAACAAACAAACAAACAAACAAACCCTTTCTGCCCCTGATGTAGAATATTCTTTTAAGATGTGTTACATTTGGGGTTGGGGATTTAGCTTAGTGGTAGAGCGCTTGCCTAGCAAGCACAAGGCCCTGGGTTCGGTCCTCAGCTCTGAAAAAAAAAAAAAAAGATGTGTTACATTTGTAGAACATTTGTTTTAATGATGCAAAGATATGTTTCATTCTTTTATGATGCATCTGTTTAACTCTGTGAAGCTGTGTTACTGTGCCTGTCTAAAACACCTAATGGTCTAATAAAGAGCTCAAGCACTCAGAGGCAGGAGAAAAGATAGGCAGGGCTGGCAGGCAGAGAGAATAAATAGAAAAAAGATGAGGCTGGAGAGATGGCTCGGTGGTTAAGAGCACTGACTGCTCTTCCAGAGGTCCTGAGTTCAATTCCCAGCAACCACATGGTGGCTCACAATCACTTGTAATGAGGTCTAGTGCCATCTTCTGGCCTGCAGGGACACATGCAGGCAGAATATTGTATACATAATAAATAAATAAATCTTTAAAAAAAGAAAAAAGAGCAAGGGAAAGGAAGAACAAGAGAACAAGGAGAGGAGAACGCTAGGGGCCAGCCACCTAGCTACACAGCCACACAGCCAGTAAAGGAGTAAGAGTAAAAGTAAGATAAACAGAAAAAAAGGAAAAAGCCCAGAAGCAAAACATAGGATAATTTAAGAAAAGCTAGCAAGAAACAAGCCAAGCTAAGGCCGGGCATTTATAAGTAAGAATAAGTTTCTGTGAGTGATTTATTTGGGAGCTGGGTGGCAGGGCCCTCAAAGAGCAAAAACAACCAACAAACCAACCAAACTGCATTTGGTCATAGTGTTTATCACAACAACAGAAAACAAACTAATAGCTTTCAAATGGCAGTCATTCTCTAATACCAACAATTTTCTCATCTAAACCTCAAATTAAGCCTCTGCAGTTTGAGGCCAGTCAGATCTAAAATAGGAGTATCAGTCACCCAACAGAAGGGTGCCCTACAGTGAATATTAAAACTGAAATGTTAGAAATTTATAATTATTTCTCTAGATGAAAAGACTTTTCTCCCACAAATCTTGAAACACAAAACATTTATACTGGCCAATTACTGTGGGTGAGGGGGTGATAAGGTCTCCCTATTAAAGTGTCAATTTCAGTCCTATTTACTGTAACACTGTCCTACAGATATTATAGTCAGAACATTAAAAGTCTGAAACAGAATAGCCATCTATCACTCAAAGGCGGCCACTGTTACTATTTGAGGTGCTTCTCTTGGGGCCTTAATCCTCTCAGCTGTTACGTAAACCATCTGCATCCTGTTTATTTTATTTAACCCTATAATGTAAGCATTTTTCCACTTAACTGGTCTTTCATAACGGTACTTCTAATGACTGTGTAACTGTCTACCCAAGACCACAGCTCGCCTAATAACACACTGATCCCCAATAAACACTTTTGTTGTTGCTGTTTCCCAAGACAGGGTTTCTCTGTGTAGCCCTGGCTGTCCTGGGACTCGGTTTGTAGACCAGGATGGCCTCAAACTTAAGTAGATACACGCCTGCTTCTGCCTCCCGAGTGCTGGAGCTAAAGGCGTGAGCCACCACTGCCCGGCTACCCAATAAACACGTTTAATGAATCTGTAAACCAGCACACCATACTCGACTAAATCACCAAACAGTCTTTCAAAATGCACAAACGTCTAACCTAAATTTATATTTTTCACAGTTATCTCGTTTTCCACCTGTTGGATTAAATCGTTCCTCCTACATTCCATGTTTGCCAATCATGACACATGAGACATTAAGTACGATGTTCAGTTTACAAACAAATCTTCCTTAAGAAACCTGAAACCTAGCCAGGTGGTAGTGGCGCACGCCCTTTGATCCCAGCAGTGGGGGGGGGGGGGGGGGAGGCAGAAGCAGGCTGCGAGTTCGAGGCCAGCCTGGACTACAGGGTGAGTTCTTCCAGGACAGCCAGGGATACACAGAGAAACCCTGAATCGAAAAAACCAAAAAAAAAAATAAGAAAAGGAACGAAACCCGAATCCCTGACGGAACACCGTGTGTTGACGCTATTGTGCTCTTCGAGGTGGGTTAACAGAATGGCAGGGTTATGAGTCCCTGATTTTAAAAAAAATATCCAGCAGATGGGGGGCAATCGAGTCTAGAGACCCTGGTTCCCAGTGTGTTCTCCCAGGCACACTCATCCAAAGATGACAGTGCGCACGCAGGTGTGCACGCACACGCCCCCTCCACACTGGCAGCTGGAGGCCCCGGCTCTCCCGCCCCCATGCGGGGACACGGGGATGCAGGACAGCCGCCAGCTCCAAGGAGCCTCCCCGTCTCCCTGCCTCCCTTTCCCTCCCGCAGAGGCCAGCAGCTGTTCCGTGACCGGAGCGAGGGCGGAGCACACCCGGGGTTCTTCCCGATGCTCCACAGGCTGCGGCCGCCCAAGTCCCCGGAGCGTCACCCCGCAGAACCCCCCAAAGCCGCGGCTGCGGGGCTTCCCACGCCCGCCGGCCCCGCTCGCTCACCATGGGAGAGACTGCCCGACTTATTCTTGCAATAGCCACAGTGGAAAAAGGACCGGTCCTCAAAATACTCTACGAGGCTGGGAGAAGGCGCGCTCCAGGAAGCCATCGCCTCGGCCCCGCCGGCTCAGCGCCACCCAGTCCCGCACAGCAGCCTCCTCCTCCTCCTCGGCCGCCGCCGCCGCCGGCGCCTCCACCGCCCCACAATGCCGCGCGCGCGCGCCTCGGCAGATCGCGCGAAGCCGCCCGAACGCTCGCGGGCCGGAAAGTCCTGGCAACCTGCGCGACTGACGCCGCCCGCGCCATATTGACTGAGGGCAGTCGTCCGCTATTTCCGTTCCTCCTCTGTGAGGGGCGGCTATCATCGGAGACGCCGAGGTGGGAAGACCGAGATGGGAAGGAGGGCAGGCTAGGGGAGAGACGAATGGGGCCGGGGATGCTGGAGTCGGGTGACCTGCGGCCTCCACCCCGCGCCAGGGACCCGGCGGGACGTAGCCAGAGCCTGGCGGGAGGCGGCCCCGGCCCCCCGGACGGCGGGACACTCACCACACGACGCCTTGCCCTCCGGGGACTCGCAGTAGCCGCAGCAGTAGCCGGCCTTCGGGCCCTTGTACTCCACCACCGAGGCCATGGCCGCCGCTGTGGGCTTGAGGGCCGGCCACGCCTCTCGGAGCCGGGGCCCGACCTCGGCAGGGCGCGGGATCCCAGGCGGGAGGGACGAGAGTGCGTCGGCGGGTGCCGGGTTCGCGCCTCTCCGCCCGCTCCCAGGACAGGGCCTCTGGACGCCAGCCTAGGTTGCAAGCCCCGGGTCTGCGCCCCGCGGTTGCCTTGCTCAATCAACAATCCCCAACACTTCTGCGAGTTATCAGCCCGTTCTAGAGATAGGAAAACTGAGGTTCCAGAGTGGGGTTCCCCCCCGGTTCACGTTCCGCAGGTCTCGGGTGGAAAGTTACCCGCTTACAACCAACCACTCCGCCTGACCACCCGAAAAGGAAGAGCTGGAGTTTTTTTTTTTCCAAACCTGCTGCCTTAAATGCTATAGGTAGAAGAGCAGAAACACTCCGAGACAGTGAGGGTACTAGAATTGAAAGAACTCTTAGCAGGAGCTAATTGCTAACGATGAAGTGCCACATACCTTTTAAAGGGAAGGTAGAAATCCAGGTGGTGGTTTATGCACAAAATATTTAAATGTCACTGAAAAAGAATTTCTTACTCTATAGGCCAAACGTTTGTATAGGCTGAATTCATCCCATGGGCCTCCTCCAATTTTCAACCAGTTGTAAGGAGCATGTTTTAGGGAATCAGGGTGTGAGGCAAAGTATAAAAATGAATGCATACTTCTGCCCTGGTAATGTTCCTTAGCCTTTCCCTCTGGGTACGACAGTTTAAGTCTTGTCTGGCATCATAATTTCCACAGTCGACAATAACATTAATTCCCGTTTACAGTGTCTAGAAAGTAAAATCATGAAACAAACTTTTAAAAATTGTTTGTGCCTGTCTTGCCTGCAAATATCAGATATGTGTGCCACCTTCATCCAGTGCCAGAGGGGGCCAGAAGGCATTGCACCCTCTGGAACCCGCCTGGCAGAGAGTTCTGAGCTACCATAAATGGTGCTGGGAACCAAGTCCTCCTCCGCCTCCTGCCACTGAGCCGTCTCTCCTACTTGTGAATAAACTTTTTCAACTGTTAATGGAGCTAAGGATGGACTAGAACTCTGTACACTCCTGCGCCAGGGTCCACTGTGCTGAAATTGTAGGTGTGCACCACCGCACCTGATATTAAATATATACTAAATGTATATTAATATTAAATATATAGACTTTTAAGTTTCAGTGGTTTTTGTTTGGTTTTTAGTTTGGTTTTTTGTTTTCCTTTTTTTTTTTCCAAGACGGTTTTTCTGTGTAGCTTTGGAGCCTGACCTGGATCTCGCTCTGTAGACCAGGCTGGCCTCGAACTCAGAGATCCGCCTGGCTCTGCCAAGTGTTGGGATTAAAGGCGTGCGCCATCGCCCCAAGTTTCATTGTTTTTTGACCCTAAACCTTAGGGCCTAAGGTTGTCTGTGTTGGAGATGTGTCTAGTTAGGTTTTATAGTTCCTGGCCTGGTGACTTACCATTGTGGAGCATCATTTGTATTTCAGACAGTTGTTCAAGAACCTAAGAGATGACCTTGCAGTGTATAAGGGTAACATTGGAGATAACTTGTTGCAGCTCAGTGCCCATATGTTCATGAAAACCTTATCTGTTTTGTTTTGTTTTAATGGCAGGTTTAACTCTTGCCCGGCTGTTCCCAGAGAAGCTCTGATTTGAATAAAAGCAAGCACATGTGGATTGACTGAAAAAGAGCACGCCATGGGCACGCCATGCCCTGCCCAGAAGGTGGGAAGAACGGCTTTTTGATCCTTTCCTAAATAGTAGCTCCCCTATCCCACACCCCAGAAATCAGTTCACTTTTTAAAAAAATATTTATTTATGTGTATGAGTACTTTTGCTTGTGTGCGTGTGTGCATGCGTAGGTGTGTGCGCGCGCGTGTGCGCGCGCACGCGCTACTAGTTTATGTCTGATGCCAAAAGAATCAACAAGAGGGCATCGGACCCCCTGGAACCAGAATTACAGACAGTTGTGCTCCACCTCACAGATACTGGAAATTGGTCCCAGGCCCCCTGCCAGAGCTCCTAACTGCGGGACCATCTCTCTAGCCCTTAGTTTCACTCTTTTTCCCTTTTGAGATAGGGCCTTACTATGTAGTTCTGGCTGTCCTGGAAGTAGGCCAGACTAGCCTCAACCAGCTCTGCCTGCCTGGACTTCTAAAGTGCTGCAATCACAGGTGTGAACTGTACTGGCGTCACTTTTTTTTTTTCCTTACTTCAGTTACCCAGAGTCGATCACTGTCCAGAATTATATAATATTCCAATATGTCCAAAAGTACACGATATTCTAAAATAAACAACTCAGAAGTTTTAAGTTAGGTGTCATTCTGAGTCAGGTGATAAAATTGCTTCTTGTCCCAGCCTGCCCTTGTCCCAGCTGCCCTGCCTGGACCTTCAGTCTGGTACACACTAGCTACATGTGGCTATTGAGCACCTATATATAGCTCATATCACTGGGGAACAAAATTTTTAGTTTTATTTAAATCTGAATTTTCCAAATTCAAATACCAAGCAGGAAAATGCCTCCAAAAAGCTACACATAGGGCTGATGAGATGGCTCAGAAGGGACAGGCATTCACTGCCAAGTCTCATCCTCCACAGATTTCATCCCTGGAGCCACACAGTAGAAGGAGAGAACTGACTCCCACTAGTTACTCCCTGATCTCCACACTTGCACAGTGGTAAAAATATACTGCCATGTGTACACAAGAACACATGAAATGATTTTTTTTTCAAAGCAACCCAGAGGTTTATCATACTCAAACTGCAGGAAATCAAAGAAAATAATGAAATAATAAAGAAAGTGAAAAAAAAACATATATTCTGTATATCTGAATTCTCTTCAGAAACCATGGAAACAAGAATGAAACATTCTAAGTATTCTAAGAAAAAGAAAACCTAGAATTCTATATCTAGAGAACTTACCCTTCAAAAACGAAAGAAAAATCCAGACTTTCCCATGAAGAAATGTGTTTCTGGTCTGTCTGCTTTGCATAAAATGTAAATTCTTCAGGAAAAGGAAAACAATGCAAGTCTGGTGATTCAGATGTTCTAAAGAAAGGAAGAGCCCTAGGCAAAGAAAAATAGACGTAAAATAATTTGTTTCTAAATCTGAATTGCTCAAACATAATGATTGATTTGAAATAATAGCAACTTGTATTCCGTAATTATAGTTTATGGATAAGTAATGTGATAATTCTAGCTTTGGAAATGAATGGCAGTAGGCTTCTAAGGATGGGGGCTAGAGCTGCAGATGCTCTATCACAAGGTACTGCAGAACCCATACAGTAGTGTATTGTATTTGAAAAAGGACCTGGATCCATTGTAAACATACACTACAGACTCAGGGCAACTGCTTACTTATCTATCTATCTATCTATCTATCTATCTATCTATCTATCTATCTATAATCTATCATCTATCTATCTATCTATCTATCTATCTATCTATCTATCTATCTATCTATTTGGTTTTTCAAGACAGGGTTTCTCTGTGTAGTTTTGGTGCCTGTCCTGGAGCTTGCTCTATAGACCAGGCTGGCCTCAAACTCACAGAGATCTGCTGCCCCTGCCTCCCAAGTGCTGGGATTAAAGGCATGTACCACCGATGCCCAGCCCATGCCACCACCATCCAGCCAGGCAACCATTTTTAAAAAGAGAAAAGAAGTATAGAAAATATGCTAAAAAAAATGGAATCATTAAATAATTAACTAAACTTAAAAATGCAGGAAAAGAAAGATGATAAAACAAACTTATATATGTATAAGGTGACTCATGCCTTTAATCCCAGTACTCAAGAGGCCAAGGCAGATAATTTTCTGTGAATTCAAGGCCTGCCTGACCTACACTGAGAGTTCAAAGCTTGTCAGTGCTACATAGGGAAAGGCTACCTTAAAAAAATAAAATAAAATGAAAATCTTATAGAAAACTAATAAATATGACAACAAGCTAACCAATTGTTACTTTAGATGCCAGTGACCAAAATACAGCAATTGAAAAAACCAACTGTCCCTGGGCAGGCACACCTCCATGACAGGGTGCTTACCTAGGATGTAAGAGGCTCTAAATCCAATCCTGGGTATACTACCCAGCCCCACAAAAACATAAACCCATGGATGTAGTACATACATGGATTCCTATCAGCTAACAAGTGGAGGCAGAAGGAAAATGCATTGAGAGGCCTGTCTGATCTACATAGTGAGACCTTGTCAAAATAATAAATGTTATCCATAGGAAACTCACTTTAAACAAAAATAGATGGATGAAAATGATGAGTAAAAATATCATGCCTTGAGAAACTTTAAACCACTAAATCAGTTTTGTAGATAAGACTCAATACCAATACAAATTAGGGATAAAGAGGAATATTACATAATGATAAAATGACAAATTATTCATTCAAGGTATAACAGCCTTAAATATGTGTGCACATAACAACAGAGTGGCAAAGTATATGAAGTATATACTGATAGAACTGCAAGGAGAAATATGTGAATCCACTTTTATTGTTGGAGATGTATTTCCCTCTCAGTAGCTGACAGGTCCAGAAGAGAACTGGTTGAAGAAATTTAAAGAAAATCAGTCAGGCGGTGGTGGTGCACACCTTTAATCCCAGCACTTGGGAGGCAGAGCTAGGCGGATCTCTGTGAGTTCCAGTCCAGCCTGGTCTACAAAGTGAGATCCAGGACAGGCTCCAAAGCTACACAGAGAAACCCTGTCTCAAAAAAAAAGAAAAGAAAAAAGAAAATCACCAGTTGGATTGAACAGTATAATCAATCAACTGGATTTAAATTGACACCTATAAATTATCCATCCAACGAAAGCAGAATGAATACATTCTTTTCAAGGTCACACAGCATACTAAAATAGACTACATTCTGGGTTATGAAAAAGTACTTTAAATTTGAAAGAGCAAAAATTATATATAATATGTGCAGTGAAATTATACTAGATTTCTAGAAAACTCCAAACTAACACTTGTAAATAACACTTAAAGAGGAGTGTGCACACCTGCAGTCCCAACACTCAGGAGACTGAAGCAGGAGGATGTCTGTGAGTTTGAGCCTATGCTGTTATGTCAAACAGCAAGTTCCAAGAAAGCCAAGGCTACCTTGCCTCAAAGAAAGCAAGCTAGCAAGCTTGAGTCAACTCTAAATAAAAATTTCAAAATATTAAACTACAGCTTAGAATATGTGAGATGCAATCAGCCACATTTCAAAATTTAAAGCATTAAATGAATACATTACAAAAGAAAATTTTAAATCAATAATTTACATTTCTGCCTTAGGAAATTAAAGAGAAAATTAAATCCAAAACTAGGAAAGATTAAAAATTAGAGCAGAAATCAGTAAAATTAAAGAAATCAAGAGAGAAAAATCAGTGAAACAAAAAAGTGGGTAAAGGTCAGTAAGTTAAAAATAAATAGAGGGGCTGGAGATGTGGCTCAGAGGTTAAGAGCACTGCTTGCTCTTTCAAAGGTCCTGAGTTCAGTTCCCAGCAACCACATGGTGGCTCACAACCATCTGTAATGAGATCCGGTGCCCTCTTCTGGCCTGCAGAGTACTTGCAGACAGAACACTATACATAATAACTAGGTAAGTTTAAAAATTAGAGCAGAAATCAGTAAAATTAAAGAAATCAAGAGAGAAAAATCAGTGAAACAAAAAAGTGGGTAAAGGTCAGTAAGTTAAAAATAAATAGAGGGGCTGGAGAGATGGCTCAGAGGTTAAGAGCACCAACTGCTCTTCCAGAGGTCCTGAGTTCAATTCTCAGCAACCACATGGTGGCTCTCAACCATCCATATCTGATGATATGGTAGATGCCCTCTTCTGGAGTGCAGGCATACATGCAGGCAGAACACTGTATACATAATAAATAAACTTTTTTAGATAGATAGATAGATAGATAGATAGATAGATAGATAGATAGATAGATAGATAGAGAAAATACCAGTATCATAGGTAAGGAAGGGCAAGAAACACAAGGCCCCAGGGTTGATCCCCAGAAGAGAAGAATAAAAAATTCCTGCTGATCCCATGGACATTAATGAGGTAATAAAAGGTTATTAATATATATTTGTGCCTAAATATGACAGTTTAGAGGGAACAGATAAATTTCTTTAAAAAAAAAAAAAAAAAAAACAACGGCCCTAGCTAGATTTATGTCAACTTGACACATGCCAGTCATCTAGGAAGAGGGACTCACAGTAGAGAAAATGCCTCCATAAGATTTGCCTGTAGGCAGTTCTGTATTGTCTTTTCTTAATATAGTGATTGATGTGGGAATGCCCAGCCAACTGTGAATGGTACCATCCCTGGACAGGTGGTCCTGAGGTGTCTAAGAAAGCATGATGAGCAAGCCAGTAAGCAACACTTCTCCATGGCCTCTGCATCAGTTCCTGCCTCCAGGTTCCTGCCTCGAGTTCCTGTCCTGACTCCCTTCAGTATTGGAGTTTGACTTGAAAACTGTATAATAAAATAAACCTTTCCTCTCCAAGTTGCTTTTGGTCATAGCATTTAACTCAGTAATAGAAACCTAACTAAGACAGAAGTAATTGACCAAAAATCATAAAAGACAAAATGGGAATAGGCCTATATTGAGTCAATAATTTATGACCTTTGGGGGGTAGAAAACTCTGTGCCTGTCTTAGTTTAAATATGAAATGCCTCAACCCCCATTGTTCATGTTTATTTCAGGTATCTCACAACTATGAAAAGCTAACACAAGGTCCAAATGGGTTCACTAGTGAGTTCTACCAAATATTTAAGGAAAAATACCAGTTCCTTGCAGGTTATTACAGAAGAGAAAAGCAGATGAAATATGTTCTAACCGATTTCAAAAGGCTAGCATCATGCTAGGAAAACTATAGACCATTATTTCTAATGAGCATTCATGCAAAAATCAACAAAATATTAGTAATCATGTCCAACAAGCTTTTAAAAAATGACCATTATCAGATGAGGTTTATTTCAGGTACACAAAGCTGACTCAACATTACAAAAACAACAAATATAACTCGTCATATCAACAGGTAAAGAAAGAAAAATCATATGACAGTATCAGTAATAAAGAACTCATTCATGAAGAAAACTTTGTCAAACTAGGGGCAGGGAACTTGAACATCTACACACACACACACACACACACACACACACACACACGCAAATCCACAGTACTAGGTGTAAAGGCAAGAGGAATTTCTGAATTCCATGACTACAAAGAGTTTCAGGCCAGCTAGGGCTGCATAGTAAAACCCTGTCTATTAAATTTAAAAAAGTTTATTTTTTAAATCCACAGTAAAAAACTAGATAGTTTTCCATAAAATTAAGAACAAAACAAAGAGGCCAGCCTGCTCTACAGCACAAGATCCAGGACAAGCACTGAAACTACACAGAAAAACCCTGTCTCAAAAAAACAGGCCTCGATTCTGTTTTCACAAGATGATGCCTCTTAGCACTTTATACAGTACTTGGCTAGTAAGTTTTCAGGTGTGATAATACAGTGTGATCAGGTTCTGGGTATGTAAAGTTTTTGCTAGTAGCACATGACTGATCTGAGTGACGTGGTTTTCTATAAAGTTTAAAGTGATAAATGGCCGGGCAGTGATGGTGCCTTTAATCCCAACACTCCGGAGGCAGAGGCAGGCGGATCTCTGTGAGTTCGAGGCCAACCTGGGCTACAGCGTGAGTTTCAGGAAAGGCGCAAAGCTACACAGAGAAACCCTGTCTCGAAAAACCAAAAGAAAGAAAAAGAATGATAAATGATCATGTTAGGTTTAGAGAGCAAGTAAATATTAAAATATTTTGAAATTTAAATAACAATTTTTATGACCTAATATTTGAAGTATGTTGATTTTGGGTTTGTTTTTTTTTTTTTTGGCGGGGGAGGGGTTCCAGACAGGGTTTCTCTGTATAACAGTCCTTGGCTATTCTAGAACTCGCTTTGTAGACCGGGCTGGCCTTAAACTCACAGAGTTTCGCCTGGCTCTGCCTCCAGAGTGCTGGGATTAAAGGCGTGCGCCACTACTGTGCAGCGTGATTTTTTTAAACTTAAGACACACATATCTACTTTCAGAGCCTTGCTTCTGGATGCTCATTTGGAGCCTGTAGTTTCAAGTACTTGTTTGTAGACAGCATATTTTGAGAGGGACAGATGTCTACTAAATAAAAAGCAAGGTCGGAGTTGATTACAAACTCTCCTTTTCACGTTGTATTTCTAAGAGCTAGAAATATCTCAGTGGACTACAGGATAATTTTGTTGGGGTGAATAATTTCCACACATAAAATGTCATGAATTGAGTATGATTTCAATTAATTTGTATTTTAACACTGAGTTATTTTCTGCTTCCTTGTCTTTAAATGCTGGTCAGTTATCAGTATAAGTTAAATACTGTGACTAAAGATACAATAAAACCTCTATCAAAGCAGTATTTAGCTGAGTGATATACCAGCTAATATATGACACCATATGACTGGACCATCAGCATATACATCTAGCCTCCAACAACACAGATATGTATGATCAAGTATTTCTACTGGTTCCATTCACATGGAGTTTGTACAGTTTATGTTCTAAAGCACAAAAATTGAAAAGATGCTATTAGAAACTGTTCTTGACTACATATACTGTAGTTGAATTCCTATGTCTTAAGAAATGGTTCCTTCTAGTTGCTGACAGCTCACACAAAGGGAAGTCCATTTCCTGCCAACAGACTATATCGTCATATACCACCTCATAGTAGGCTCCTTCTGTGATAGTGATGACACACAGAAAGTGGTGACTGCTTTGCGTTGCCTTAGAAATCAACCCAAGGATCAACAGTAGGTAGTTGAAAATCTGAATTGAGGGCAGAAATTCCGTGGTTAGAAACCAGTTCTTTGCAGAATAGAGAATGAGAAATCAGAGCTCAGGGCAGAAGGGGCTGGAAGGAAGAATGAAGAGCAAAGAAACTGTTCATGGAGCTGGCAAATAGCAGGACAATGGCTGAAGCCAGGAACAATGTGGAGAAAGAGCCTCAGACTGCAGAGCCGGCACAAGTGAGCACGAGGGCTTTGAGGAGAACATGCATTGCAAGACTACCACCGCAGAATGGACCGCCGCCGAGAGCTGTCACCTCACAGCCGCCCATGGTGGCAGACTCAGAGTGGTTTGGTCTGAGTGCAGAGGAACAGTAAGTGTTCCCTCCCTTTGGGATGTAGGCAAAAGAATCTATGTCTGTATCTGGGAACAAATGGAGTCCTGTAGGACTCAACTGCCTAAGAAACTAACACTAGGACCACTAATGAGACATTAACTTTCATGGCTTCCATTCTCTTTGCCACATATAGGGAATAATGAATATGAGCTGCCTAAGATTGTGTAGAAGATTAATTAATTCCATGTAGGCTTCTGTAACACTACCTAGTGTAAATTCAATAAATGTTGCCATGGAAACATAAACTCTTAAAGAAGTAGCAGAAATGAAATTAAAGACAGGTTTTGTTCAGTTCTGTTATAAAAACCTTTTATTGCTGATAAAAGTGTTTATGCTTAAGTTGACAAAACAGCACTAATTAGCTTGCTAATCAGGTTAATGTGACTTTACTCCATCCTAAAGAACAATTTTCCTGTCATATTTTTCTTCATTAAGTTTTAAAACTTGTCTTCCAATTGTTTTAAAATCTATTTAAAATGTAAATTTTAGACCCAGGCATAGTGGAGGCAGAGGTAGGGATGTTTCTATAAGTTACAGGACTACATAGGTTCTCAACCTGTGCTGTGGAATAATCCTTCTATACACTGTGAAAAATGTGTTGCTCTTGGGGCTTGGAGAGATGGCTCAGCGGTTAAGAGCACTGACTGTTCTTCCAGAGGACATGAGTTCAATTCCCAGCAACCACATGGTGGCTCATAACCACCTGTAATGAGATTTGGTGCCCTCTTCTGGCCTGCAGGGACACATGCAGGCAGAACACTGTAAAAATAATAAATAAATCTTTAAAAAAAAAAGAAAATGTTGGCCGGGCG